CCTTCTCCAAGACTGGTTGCCCAGGAAACATGACAATATTTGTTTCTGGTGCTTCTCCCTGCAACAGCTTTGAGGTAAAAATTAGCTTCTCTGACGAAGATCAAGTTTCCTCAAAGCTGTGGTTCAAAATCCCCATTTGATGTGGACTTTCTTCATCCTCTTTCAGACTCTCTCCAGAGTCAGAGGAGGAAGGAACTTTGCTTTCACTCATGCTTACCAGTTCATAATCCTCCACATATTTGTATTTCTTCTCCCGATAGTAGTATCTCTTCTTCATGCAATACAGAACAACTATGTCACACAACACTGTTGCCTAGTGAAGATTGAAAGAGTTTTAAGACAATAATCCTCAGAACGAAGGCACTAATCCAGAACTGAGTCCAAGTGCAGTGTCACTCACCACGCCAAAGAGCGCCAAGCCAGAGCCGATGTTAATCATGGTGGGAATTACATCAAATTTCCCTGCCTAGAAGACAGGTAGAAGGGTGAATATACTTTTCAGCATCTCTGAAAGCCCTCACCACAAGAACTCCAGGAATTAAATCAGCCTACCTTTCCAAACACTATGATGTCAAAGCGTATGCCATAAGCTTTGACCAGTGTCCGTGATTCAGTGCCATTAGTATCCTTGTAGTATTTTGCAAACCTGGAAAAAAGACAGGTCAGAGCTTAGCTGGAAATTTTGAAGTTGTTTATGTGATCATGCAACATCCAGGTGTGTCCCCCATCCCAAGAGGATGGGCTGAACATCGGAAACCTCCAGGGATAAACCCCAAACGATGGAAGGAGATTCCATGCAGGCAAGCACAGCTAGGAGAAAAGCCCAGAACAGGCCAATTTAAGACAGCGGGTTAGCACCAGCCAAATCAGGAAACTTGCAAAGCATAGGGTGGGGAGAAAGTTAGCTTTAGCAGGGGAGCAGAAGGAAGAGCAGCTACACGAGGTAAGCAGGAGGCTGCAGGAGCGCAGGCAGCCACGAGAGGGCAGGGCAGGGAGCAGGCAGCGAGGGAGGCAGCACAGCTCAGCCTGGCACACAAAGGCTGTTCCTTGTCCCGCACAATGTGACTCGCAGGCAAATGACAGGGAAAAGGGGATTCACCGCTCTTCGGGGCCGCCGGCATAACCCGCGGCTCGGCAGCCAGGGCAGGGCTCAGCCCTGAGGCCTCCCGCTGGCCTTGGGCAGTGCGGGTGGTGGCTCATCCCGAGGAGGATGCCCTCAACCTGGTTGCTAAATCTGGGAGATTTTTTTTATTTTTTTTTTTTTCCCCGTGCTACTCTGTTAGCAAGTTTATGGCGAGCTTTTCACCTCCATACTGGCCAGACGTGAGTCAGCCGTTACCTGGAAGTCTGCTGCTGTCAGCTCTCTCCCGAGTCTTGGCTGCTAAATCTCAGAAAGAAGCTGGACAGATGACCTCAGGCAAGGGCCATCCTAACACCAAGACCGTTAAGTTGCAGCCAGCTCAGGGCAAGGCCAGAGCACCTGCCTGCAAAAGATAGCAGAAGCATACCTAAGCCCGTCACCCTCCACAATGAGCAAATCCTTTATCCTCCTGCAGAATTAATCTTTAAAAGCAGAGCTCCACACCACCTAATTCATGCACCTTCCACCTGATGCTGAGCTGCCCAGCACGGTGCTTTATTTAGAAACATGACCACAACCCTCATAATAGCAGGTAAATCATGAGAAAGAGATGAAGTGAGCTGGCAAATTGGCAGTGGGAATTTCAGACAGCATGAAACTATTAAAGAGACTTTGAGTCAGCTATAGATTAGTAAAATGCTCTATTTATTACAAAAACAATAAAAATTGGAAGGACCAAAAAAAGATGGGATAAGTAAGAACCTATATCCAAACATGAACGGAGATTAAAATCGCCGCCTTTAGTGAATATTCAGTGTAATTCTTCCAAGAGGAGAGTGGGTTCATGTACTGCGACTGGAATGCATTAATGACAACTGTATTTCCCACTCTAAACAGGTAAGACGCTGCAATATGAACGTTAAACCAATTAATGCTTGTTATAACTGAAGATATACACACACAGCTGGCATAATCTGCCAGCAATATATCTTAAAATACATGTGGGTAATGGAAATGGCAAACTGCAGGATTAGCTTGGGAAGAACAAAGCTTAGTTGAAAGGAGTGCAGAATATACACGTTACAATCCTTTTCACCTTGTTTCTACAAAAATAGAACACGTCCAAGTATAACAAAAAGAAAGAACTGAAAAAGGTGTTGGAGCACAGATTAATCTACCCTGAGTTTGCTGCTCCTCGGCTGTAGTCTGGCCTTACGCATCACAGCACAAAGCAACTCGCACTGTGCCAAGTTCAGGAGGAGGAGGTGTAAGAGGCAAGGCCTGTTTGAAGCTAAGAGCAAACAGGAGGCCAAAGTCCAACATTACAATTTCAGTGTGTATGAATGAAATGCCCCAAAACACAGACGGCAAAAGTCCTTTTCATTTTACTTCCCGAGTTCAAGCTAAAAGGAATAATACAAAGAGAACAGCCGGGCTTTTCAGAAAATGCATCATCCGTGTCACTGAAATAATCTAAAATAAGCCTGTTTAATCTGGATGGACCATGAGGCCTTCAATGGTGAGTTACTAAACTACATGCTCAGAGGCATCTTTCTAGAGCCTCTTGATCCAGGGCTGCAGAAAGGTGGTGAGGCTGGGGGAGAAAAATGCTCAGTACCACGTTTTCAAGTGACTTTTGGACTTCCTTCAGGGGTCATGTTTTGAGATGACGCTTGGCTCCACCTTATTTTCAGGTCATCTCCTGACTCAGGGGGGATTCTGGTGCGTGCTAGTGCAAAGGCAGGCCTTGAACATTCCACTAAAGGGTAGCCCCTAAGAACTTGCCCCAAAGCTTGCATTTCCAAACCACGTGGGGTGACTCACAGAATGAAGCAAAGGCAGAAGTAAGCACTTTAGCTCAAGGTATCTATTCCTCTATGCTAAGCAGTAGGCAATGGTGCCTTTCCAAAGACAGTGTACCAGAAATCAGCAGTACTACAGAACGTTTTGGGAAGTCACACACATTCTTCTCTTTTTTAAAAGGCCTGTGAAAGAAAACAAAGGTTAAATGCCCAAGGTGGGTCGCATTGTGAGCTCAAGTTGTACTACATCCTCATTCCGTCTCAAAACCAGTATAGTTGTTGTCTGCTTTGGGATAAGCATCTCTAATTTTCCACCTGCAGCAGCTCGGGACGACAGCTCTGTCTTCCAGATCAAACGAGCCAAAGCGCCAACGTACGTATTGCTTGTAAGCAAGGTGACGCAGCTGGTCGTTGATTCTGTCATCTGTCAAGTCCAGAAAGGGGTCTTTGTAGAGAAGGGCTTTATTCAGGGTGTGACGGGACAGCACCAGCTGCTGAAACAACTGGGAGGTTGTGATGCATGGCCCTTCTTTCCTTCGGCAGCAGAGCTGCTCATGGTACTCCTGTGTTGGCCGGCATTTGCCACAGCAGCACCACTCTGGGAGGTACGGGGAAAAGGCCTCTTGTCTGAGAGCGCGTGTCAGCGCGTATTCTTCATTATCATCATTCTCCTCAGCCTCCCTGGGGCAGCACCCGCCAGCATCATCGAATTGTACAAGGTCGCTCTGCAACAACAATTCCCAACATAAATGAAAGAAACCAGCATTCGCTGTTTCACCCAACTGCAAAGAGACTTTACACCAGTGATCCTCACCATTGGGGTTTTTTCATTTGACACAGCACAATAGGGATAATGACGATAGATCAGCAGATCTGGAGGAGGATTGTCTTTCTGTGTTGCCAACGCCCACCCTAGTGAAATCGAATCGACACCTCGCAAGTTGTTTCTACACCAACGCACTCCCGCTGGCACATACGCACCACAGGAAAGCAGCAAATTTTAGCTGACTCTAGAAAATACACGCTCTGCTCACAGGACCGATTAACTTGAAGCGGACAGTAAGAATGTAGTTTTAGCCCCTCAGAATTTAATCTGGAAATACGGGGGGGTGGCGGTGGTGGAAACCCAAATCAGTTTGGAATGATGTTCCTCAGTTCTCCCTTCTGAAGGGAGAATCCCAAAGGTTAGTGTCTGTCTTTACCTCAACAATGCTGCCTTGAGTATGCTGCAAGCTTGTTTTCAGAGGCTTCTTTATCAAGGTAACGTGTGGCTCATCAACGTAGGACACATACATCACCTGCGCAGCAGAAGAAATGAGCACTGTCAGCTGAGTAGTTACTTGGAGAACTGGGGATAAACACAGCATAGACCTGACCTCAAGGCTTGGGTTCTGCTGTCTGTACTCCAACAACCACCCCCTGCAAATGCATGTTGCAAGGACCAGTATTTCCAATGTCCAGCACAGAAAGGACATGGGGTGCTGCAGGGACAGAGGGCACGGGAATGGACAGGTATGGAACTAGCTGTAGGAGTGGGGTTGTGCAGGGCCTTTAGGTACTCACCTCTTCACCCTTCTTTAAAAATACATGCCTAAAATGCTGGGGGATTAGCAGAGGCAGCCTACAGAAGTAACCATTAACGTCTTGAAAATGAGGAAAAAGCAACTTTAGTTGGCAGGGAAGAGGCTTTGAGCAATGCCCTCTTGATGGACGGCCCTCTCATGATATCCTTCTGCTTTTTTGAAGGCTCACTACTCCCTGCAGGTTTCCCTGATAGAGCTGGTGTGATTCTGCCATGCCAAGGTTGTGGGTAGAGCCCACTGCGCTCATGCAGTGCACAGCTCCATGGAATCTTCCTGGATCAGCTGCATTTTTGTATCCACACAGCAGCAATTTACATTCTTTACCTGTCTTGGATTCAGCACAGTCTCAGTCTTTTTCCTGTTGTAAAGTCTGTAGAATGGTGATTTGCAGCAGCCGGAGCAATTACCTACACAAATAGCAATTTCAATGGCAGTTGCAACCTGCACATGAAAAAAAAAAAACAAAAACAAATGGTGATTCCACTTTCTAACTGAGGCTTTATCTCCAGAATTGGTTTTATTAACGCAAAAAATGTCTCTCACCAAGCCAAAATAGGACATCATGGACCCAATGTTTTTAATGAGTTCAATGGGGTTAAATTTTCTACCCTGAAAGAAAGCAGGAAAGAATAACTGGGAGGCAAGATCTATTATCATCCATTCAACTTAATGCCTTTTCTCTTTTTGTCTCTTTACAATGTATCTTTGTCTCTACAGTTCAATCAATCCCCAAATTCCATAGACCTCTTAGACACTTTGCGGGGGAGAATAACCCACTTGAGAGGGACACAGTGGTGACACACGGTGTTCATGACGGTAACATCATGTCATGGGGATACCTGCTGTTGTCTCCGTTGTAAACAACAATCCTGCCTCCCACCCAGTCCTGCCATTTCATCCTCAGCTTTGCTCTCCGATGCTGCTCAGTTCAGTTTACATCTACTCATCTGACATGACTTCCATCCCAGAATGATGGACAGGAGAGGGGAGAGCAGCATAAGGCAGAAGTGGGGTTAAGGAAATAGCAAGCTTTCTTCTCCCTCCACAAGGAAAAACAATGGCATTTACTGTGCCGAAGACAAGGACATCAAAGCGTATTCCGTAGACTTTGAAAAGGGTTCTCTGCTCCTTCCCATTTGGTAGCAGCTTGTAGTACCTTGCATATCTGCAAAAGAGTAAATGAAGATCTGTACAGCTTCCCTGGGGGATATAATGCCATGAGGCTTGCAGAGTTTCTTCTCCCTTCTTCCTCCAGCCCTTTCAGACTTCTGAAGTGAAGGTGCTGAGGCCAGCTTGATGAACAGTACTTTGCCCAGCATCTGACCTGGCAGTCTAAACTAAATTAATACATACATAGAGATTTAGACAAATTAAAAATCCAACTAATATCCAGTGAGTGTTTTGCTGTCTCAATTCAAATTGGAACCTGCAGCTGCAGAAAGCAGTTCAATCACAGGTAAAGGAGAGAGAAAACCCTGGTGAGGATACGTGAGGAGCTGGCAATGGCAAGAAGTGCCCATGCTTTGGAGGCTTTACTATCATGTTATCCAAGACGAGCTCTGAACTCCTGAGCACACTTTAGCATGCTGGATATGGGCCATCTTCCATCCCTCAATCAGTAGAGATTCACGTGAGCCTTTACTAACTTCCAGTGTTTTATTCTATCAAGAACATGACCCTCCTGATGCACAGCTCACATCAGCTTATGGATCAATAAGCAGTCACAGAGCATGGAACAAAGAGATCTTTTTTAATCTGACAGTGAAAAGCTGGCAGTACAGACAAAATCATTACATTAAACTGCAAGACATATAATCCACACAATGCTACTAATATCCAACAACCTCTAATAACAATACCCATATGTCTTCTGCCTCAGACATGCTGTCAGGATTTAAAGTGCTGTATTGTTCTTGACTGGTTTACTTGAGTGATCTCTGACTCCCATTCTCCTTCGTTTAGATAAATAATTTGAACGTGAATTTGCTTAGCTAACAGGACAGAAGGTCAGTTCTAGGAGCAGCAGATACTCACAGGTTACTCTGTCATTGCTAATAAAAATTTGTTTTATAGTTGGGTAGTTGTTCAAGTACAGAAAGAGTAAACCTTTTAATAGGATATGTCTGGTGTAAACGTCATCAGCTCAGCCCTCTGCTTTCTAGCATCTCCAGGTACTCATTCAGATGATGGAGACATCTAAAGAAAAATACATTTTCCTCCTTTCCTGTCTCATTGGGTTCAGTCCCTGCTGCTCTGCTTTGCCATCTCGATGCTAACAAACCAGCCCAGAGCGAGCTTTTACGTGATTCCACTCTCCTGCACATCCTACTGCAAGCTAAGTTTGGCAAACTTTGAGTGCTTTTAATCAGAGTCCCCAAGATCATGCGATTGTTTGCTTCCCATTCACCACGATCTGATTTGTATTCTCTGAAGGCAGTGAGTCAGAAAAACATAACGTAATGTGTTCTGCTTTCTCCTTGCTTGCACAGACATGAAATCTCCTTTTTTTGCGTGCTGAACAGTTCCACAGTCTGTGCCCAGTCTGGTCAGCTCTTCGCCTCTGAAGCCTACAGGTCAGTTAGGTTTTATCTGAAAGTTTTCCTAACTCTTTCCAGAATCAGAGGTTTTCTCTAGCCCTCAGGGTAGAGATTATTTCACATCTGCTCTTGATGGCACAGAAGCCTTCTCCTAACAGCTCTGTGCTCAGAGGTGACCTGTTAAGAGCTTTCTTGATCACTGGCTGAAGCTTTGCTCCCTTGCACCTCAAGTAGTTATTTTCTTTTGGAAGGTTAAAGCCTGTTTCCATTTAAGTCTATCACAAAATTCCTTTTGCAACTGAGATGAAATCAATAGGGCTCCATGCACACAGAGGTTATAAGCTGCCCAAAGTAGCTTTCCTCACTTCCAGGACAGCTAGACTGCAAGGGAAGCAGCATTCTACACGAGCCCTGTTTCTTACACTCTTTTCCAAAATTTTCTCCTGCTATTGATCTTTGTTAGCTCTAGGACACTGGGCTGGATGGAACCTTTGATATGATAATATTTTACATTCTTATGACAGAAAAGTTTTCTTGAAAGATATTAATTGTAACATCGTTTTTAGCTCTCCCCCCCTTGCTCACTTGGGTAGTTCTACTGAAGTCAGCAGCTCCGTTTATACAAGTTGGCATAAACAAGCTGAACGGTGTGTCAGGGTTTGTGCATGTTCACTTGTTTTAAATAGTATTATGCTCAATCTATTCACTGCTTTTCAACTTCCACTCTCTTTGCTTTTTAAATTGCTGCACCAAACTACTCTGCTCCTCTTTTTTAATTTTGGAGACATTAGAGAATGGCATTTCTTTGCCAATAAACCCCCTGATTAACAGATACAGAGTCAGGCCACCAGGATGTGGTCTGGCACCGTGCACACTCTCCCAGCAGCCTGTGTTCTTAGACCAGGCTCACTTCCTGCAGCAGAGATTTCAGCTGAACTGCAGCAAAACAACCTTGCTACAGACTGGTATCGTGATACGTAAAAGATAGCAAATGTTGGGCAAAACCATTTTTGGCATTTTGACCGCAGCTGTTGTCTGACAGTGAACATCCTCAAAACTACTCCACCGTCTTCTTCCAAAAGCCTTCTCAGAAACTGCTTTGACTACAAAAACGTATTCCATGGAAAGGTTGCTGGCCTCGGCACTGTTTTGCTTCTTCCTTGTGATCTCCCCCATCTCCTGTCTGTGGCTGCCAGGTCAGAGGGAACACCTGTTTGTTCTTTGTTTGCACAGCTCCAGCACGATGCAACTTTGGAATACGCTGGCAGTTCCTAGGCAGTTATGGCACTCAAGTTAGCATCACAAATGCATGAAAACCTATCATGTAATAATAATCACGTCATGAGTCAAAAGAGTGTTGTTACACAAGAGTTTTGACCTAGATCTGAGGGACAGCTTTAGTTTTAAACGTGTTGATACGCATTTGATAAAAGGTTTGTGTAACTATTCAGAACTGGAGTCACGTCAAACTTCTCATAAATCTGCTACATGCACACAGAACCAAAAGCTCTAATTTGCTTTTGAATAAATCTTGATTCAGTGAACTGTGGGGTTACCCAGATGGAAGAAAAACACTTTGTTATTTTATTTGTGTTAATTGCCTTGGGAAACTCACAAGTTTAGGTAGTTTCAAGCCTGGACTGCCATATGGTGGAATCTGCCCAAACTATTCTCTGTGTTTACTCCCAGAATAGTTGTTGGAAATTTCTAGGCCTTTCAACACAGAAATAAAATCTGCAATACAAGCATGCCCATTTACAAAATGACCATGATGATACATCTACACAGCTACAATAACTGCAGATTAAGGACATGACTACAAGAGTGAAGAAGGAGAATCAAACGTCTTGTCATTCCAAGTCATCATTCCCTGCACCTCATCGCATCTGTGCTTCAACTCAGAAAACATGCCTTCATAGAACATTTTTTACCTGAACTGGAATCCAGGCTTTATTTTTTTGTCATCAAGGCGGTGGAAACCATACTCTGGATGGCAGTTGTAAAACCACCTGTCCAAGTTACAGTCCCAGTTAATCTCAATGGCAATGATTCCTCCCTAGAAATGGAAACAGTAAGTTTAGAGACTAGTGCTGTGATGGCTGCCTGTGCTAAACTGCTGTTAAAGTCAGTGGAGACTTGAGGGATGCCACTGGCAGGGACATTTCTCTACAGACACGTTAACAAGCAACATTTGCCAATCAAGCAGTCTTCTATGGAAGTGACTTAGTTATGTGACCCAGAAGCCACCATTCAGGCCTTTCCTATCTTCTTATTTCTCTTCATCTTAGTAGCCCAAGTGTGGATGTAGCTGGTATACTGTGACAGTTCTTTCACTGCTTTAAACTACACAGAGCTTCAAACCAAAAGCCTAGGTTTTGTAGGCACCCAGTCCAAATGTTTCATCTTGAATGCAGTGTGCCAGGCTGCAAATCAGTAAATGTGGCTCAGTTGATGACTCTGGGCAGGACACTTTGTCTCTACTTTTATTTTACCCATCTGTTAATATTGACTTTCTAGAGGTATGGCTGGATACTGTGTTAAGGGCATCTGGCTCAATACCCTAAAGAACAGAGTAAAAATAAGTGCTTTTTGACTCTGAACACAAGCTGCCATTTGTGCCAGTCTGACTTTTGGATGATTCCCCCAGCAACATGATTTAGGATCTGCTTGAGTAGAATCAAAAGATGACCACAAGTGGCAGCCTTGTATAGGACTTATTTAAATGCACTGGGATTTGTAAAAGGGCCTCTACATGCTACAATACTAACAAAATAATATCACCTCTGTCAACACGGGTCCCATCCAGTGAGCTGTTAAGCACATTTAATTCTTGAAAGCTGGGATTACTTTGCTTCTCATACATCAGTTTCTAAACCTAGAACAATTCCATGATACAGCAGGCAGAAAAACATGCAAGAAGAGAATCAAGAAAGCTGAAACTGAGCATGAAAAAAAGTGGTATCACAGACCTTTACTGCCATCTCAGAAAAATTCTCTTTTGCTTCCTGAATAATGTCTCCCAGACGGAAAATTGGACAGTGCGGGGAAGTATTCTTGTTGTATGTGCAGGAAGTATTTAACTTTTGTGGAATATTTAGTCTGTGAAGAACACACACAATTGTTTAAATTTGAAACCAAGCTGGAGCAGCTACAGATACAGGTAAGGGACTTCACCCTTACTAACCAGAACCTGTGTTAAATGTGCTCTGTTCGTAAGTATACGAGCTTTTGGTTTTGTTGCTACCAGATCTATATATCCCTAACTGGGATCTGGGAATCAAGATGATTTCTTTACTCTTTGGCAATTATCACCAGCAAAGTTTTACCTGTGTATACTCAAGACTTTCACTGTATAATTTGAATCACATGTCTTTTGTGCTATATTTTAGTAATTTTACCCTAACATAAACCAGTGTATCTGAATGAACGCTTCTGTTGTCCAGTGCATAAGAGAAATAATTATGCTGGGAGGTTCTTCTCCCAAGCTCTCCTTATTCCTCTTGGTTCCTGAAGGATTAATAAGGCTAAGAATTATAGAAAATTAATAATTATCACTCCGGCAGATACAACCCTGAATGCATAGCCCTTTTGAGTAATGAAGGTGACAATTTATACAATTTTTTTTTTCAGAGCACAACTACTCACTCGTCAGAAAGCATTGAGGAATGCTTGCACTTACACGGTGTAATTAAATTTTGGGAAGTGAATGTTGTTCTTTATCAGCACAGTGAAATCTTCAGAATGCCTCAGAACAGCAGGGCTAAAAAAGAAACATTAAATTAACAAAACTTCTTTTATTTAAATACATCAGTTAATGTTATGCTACTTTACTATTACCTGGAAAGCTGTCAGTAGGAGGAATATGTTGCTAAGAATAACAGATTGAAATGCAGGGAGTTAGGTGGCTTGGGAAATCAAGAAAGATACAGGTGGTTTTCTTAAGTTTTAGGTATAAATTGTTCTCTCTCTATTGCACTTGTTTGTGTGGGCCAGGCCTAACTAGAATCTCTACATGCAGCTGAAATATGATCTCAGGAGAGTTCTCATAGAAATCATGCAATAGAATAGTAGTAAGAAATTTCACCATTTGACAGCTGATGATTTCTGCACAGTGAAGTGGCAGTTTCCTTGCTGATCCCCACGGAGAGGTGGGCATTTACACCAGAGCTGCACAGGTAGTAGAAGTATAAAAATGAGCCATGCACTCAATCCTAGAGGATGTCTCTGGGAGTCAGGTGTCAGTCACAACACCAAAGGTTGTGCTGCCTTCCTAGCAGATTCCAGTCTTAGGACCTCCCCTACAGTGGTTTGCATCACTAAATCCGTAGGTGGAATGCAGACACACTGGAATGCAGGCTGCCAGTCTGACCCTTCCTCAAAAGAGTGATTTCTCTGAAGCTAATATGGCAGGAAAGAAGGAATCTTCCCACAAGTTGCTAGCTGGGTAGCCTTGGCCTAGACTGTGTGAGACAAGCTCTGCTATACTCCAGGACTTGCCAGAGCTATAGGAAAGTAAGAGATAAAGTTTTTAGCATTGTTTGTCTAGCACAGGGACTATGCTGAACTGGAATATTGGCATTGTTCCATTTAAGAATAACCAGGAACATTTTAATTTCCATCAAGACAGGGATTCCAAGGGGAAAACCCAGTCTTCGAAGCAGTCATCCACATAAAGGACAGTGCTTCTAAGCAAGGAATATTTTTCCTATCACTGTATTTTGAGAAGTGCCTCTGCATCAGAGAACTGTGATGACAAGAAGCACATTGTCTGGATGACACGCAGCTTCCATGAGGGATTTGTCATGAGCGTTTTCTAAACCAAGTCAACGAATGAGACTTGATTGCAAACCAAATTAACATTTGTGGGTGCTACCCGGACACAAAAGTCACTGATGACTTCCAGTGTATAATAGTCAAGATATTAATAAAGCGTGTTAATTTTTAAAGAACTAAATATGAATGAACCTATAATTGAAACTGTAATTCATCCGCTGGGAAGCATCTGGAATCTGATGCAAGGCTCTTCTGTCCTTCAGCCAGCTAATCTGACAACTGTGCCCTGCTGCAGGCTGAAAGGAACGATCAAAAATAAAAGAATCTTCTTGGCAACATGCAATGTCTTTGTTCAGTTCCTGCCATAACTAACAGGAAGGAAAAGGAGGTCGCCTGTATAGTTCATGAAGCATACCTTTCAAAGTAATTTGGACAATGAAGACAATCATGGGTGTAACCAAAGCCCAACATTGCTACCTCAGTATCTCAACCAGATGGCAAAGCTTCCTGGGTTCTGACCTTGGTCTTATGTATCATTCTGGAGGAAAAAAACCCACTCAACTTTGCTTTTTAGTGAATCCTCATTTTTTCCTTGTCAATGGAACTTGTGAAGAAACTTTATACATTAGAGGTTTGGATCAAAGCTCTTATTCATTATTGTTGGTCCCTGGTAGTGACCAACTATTGGCACTTTAGAGGAAGGTTAGGAAACAAGACAGAATGTGTCAACTGTGCCATGTAATTAAAAGCAAAATTCCCTCTGTAATATACACAGCAGTGAGCCTACGCAGTGTGACATTTAAAAATGACTGGCAGTCAGTGAAACTTTATAAAAAACCCCTAGGATTTCATTAACTCAGGAAGCTCATGCATATCTTTCTCGGAAGCCGTATGAACAATGCAGCCTTCCTGTTGTTGGAGAAAGCCTTTTTCAGATCACAATTCTGTCCACAGAAGAAGGGAATGGAAATTCCTTTAAAGAGCTGGAAAAAGCTCAGCAGAAGGAGCTGTAGAAGGCATTGTGGGCTCTAGAAGGGACCTGGCAGTGGAAAAAATGCTCAGTCTCTGCAGAAAACCCTGAATTAGGGGGTTAGATGGGATATATACATAGAATCATGCTTGTATCTTTTAAAAGCAATGAGTTAATAAAAGTGATAATTGACCTAGTTTCTTATACATGTATTTCAAAGCTGGTTGAGATGAGCTAAAATTGATTGTCATTGGCTCTCTTAGAGTATAATTTCCATCATTTCAGTTGAAATCAAATCCTTTATAAATTTTTTTCATGCTTTGGCTGATACAGAATAGCACATGTTCATCTGGGAACACTGTACTGTCACAGAGTTACAAAAAAAGATGGCTACAAGGCCCCCCCATCCTACTCTCTAGGTCACAGGAGCATTGTTCCATGAAGTCTTTTTCCTGGAGTTTTCTTCAGCTCGCTATTCCAGATGCCATCGAGGCCTTTATCATCTACCTAGAGAGGTTGGAGAGACTGTTCTTCAGCCTGAGGTGGATCCCTGAACACTAACCTGCACACAATGTAAAGACAACCAACCTCCTCCTTCTGTTCCGGGATAAATGAACCCACAAAGAACTTCTGCACCATAGAGCCCTAAGCCTTTGCAGAAGAAAACCCCAAGTTAGGAACCTTTTATTTCTGTCACTGATTAAACCTATCTTACATTGATGCATTATCCTTGACATTTGAATTAATGAGCCAAATGCCTCTAGTGAATTCAAGATGAGCCTGTGACATCTATAACTGTTTCTATGGCAGCTGCATGATGATACAAACTGGAGGCTATGACTTCACTGCAGAATCATACAATAGGATAGATTGTTAGAAGTTATTTAAATATTATAAAGAGTGTTAATGGTATGGCTGTTTTACATACATGAGATCTAGACGTGCCTAGGCAAAGGGATTATCCTAAAAGATCATGACTGTCAAAGTAAATCCTTCTTTTGACATTAAAAACATGCAGATATCTCTTCACTTACTCAGGGGGGTTTTCCGTGGATTCCACAGGGCACCATGCTCTGACCTCACAGGTTTTAACAGTTGCATTATAAGACACACATCTTCCTGTTTGAATTCCTGTAGAGAAACAAGCTCTTACTCAGCAAAGACTCTCAACAGTTAGAGACAGTTTCAACATACCAGTGGATTTCTCCTCAAATGTAAGACAGGGAATCCAACATTTCAGATTGTTGAGGCTTTCTATAAGAGGGAGCTGTAGGAAGAACCGCCCAAACCATGGTCCTGCCACACCTCACCAGTCCTTGTTCAGCCATTTACCTGTGTCAACGGTGCTCGTCATTGTTTGGGCTGAGGGTGAAATAGTTTCCTTTACAGTTTTGTACAAAGTTACATATCTCAGTCTTGGGATAAATCAAGAAACCAACTGTTTCAGTCAGAAGTTTAATTCAACAACATGGGCAAATTAAACCAGGATATAAAGGTGGGCAGGAAACCTTAATTCTTTCTGTACTAGTCTGCATTTTCTGTGAGCATTCAGTATTTACCAGGGGAGATAATAATCCAGCCATCAGCCCAAATTCAGGGAATCTCAGCACTACAAAGAACTCAGATAGCTGATGAAAACAGTATGCTGCCTTCTGGACAACTGGTCCCAGAAAAAAGACAGGAGTCTCCTGACTTATTCTGAAAACTACTTAACCATCATAGGGGTGTTACAGACCCTTCAAACAGATCCCGCAGTCACTCCACTTGCTAAGCAGCCACGGACTTCAACAAGACCTCATTCACACCAGTTGGTGTTCTTCTTCACATCTCCCTTCCTCTGCTCCCTGCCACCGTTTCTCCTTTTAGTAAGGGCACACACGAGCTGGTAAGAACTCTGTTTTGTGGTTTCAAAAATATTTTCTCAGATATCTCTTAGGATTCCATACTGTTCTACTGCCATTCTCCAAGCTGGATCTTGCACATGCTGCACTGGTCAATAATACAATAGAAGATAGTACCCACAAAAAAAAAATAATTGTAATCTGAAAATGTTTACATACCATGACTGTTGATGTCTACACTTCCTTTTTCACAGGACTTGTCTGAAGAGCAGATAGCTTTGGGGAAGGGATACTGGAAAAAAATTACATAAAAGTGATTTAAAAAAAAATTATCTCCCTCTCCACACCTGTGTAAAAAGCCTTACTCAGCTTCAATGTAAAAGTATCAAATAATAAGAGAAAATAACAATGCAGAGCAGTTATAACCCTTACTAATTATTTAGCTTATAGGAGATAAAAGCACAGCTACCTGCAAAACCAGAAAAAAAGTCCTTTCCTTGCTTACAATAACATTTTCCTTTATTATTTATCTCTCTTCCCATTTTCCTCACTCTCTCTTATACTATTAAGCACAATAAATTTAATACAGGACTATTTCATTCTTTGTTTAGTAACAGTTGCATATACTTTTGCAAGTGAAAGTCAACTTGTATTGGAGAACTACTCTGCAAGGTCCCACTTCTTGTCCAGCCAAATGAAAAGGAGAGCTGCAGCTGACGACCAGGTTTGACCTACAGTAAGGAAGGAAGGGGACATGTAGGAATGAGCAACAGTAATAGTAAGAGCGCCATATTAGCAGAGAAGCTGGTAACAATTCTGTAGCTCCATCATTCCTTCGGGTTTTCCTCAAGAGCAGCAACAGTGCCAGGGAAGCTGGACAGCAATCACTGGCCTGAATGTCATCACCTCCTGAAAGTGATGCAGATAGGTTGGACTGCAAGGTCACTGGTGTGAAGCAAAGTCACAGCTGCCAGCTGACTCCCCGAGAAAGAAAAGGAGCAATTAAACTAGGTCTTGCACGTTATCTGCTGAGACACAGACAGAAAGAGCAACAGTATTTGCTTGTACCAGACTGGTCCAAGAACAGTCCACTCTTTCACATCAACATGCATTCGATACATCCTAAGTATGAATCACAAAACATACTTACCTCAGGGCACCTCTGCTCAATCTGATTCTCTGTCTTAATGATGTTGGTCACCACAAAAAAAGAGTTTACTGCCTACATGGAGGAAAGAATATGAATTTGACTGAAATTTCACATACTTGATTCAGACCTCAGTCATTCCAGAACATCACCTGGAATGACAAGGCTGTTCCTGCTCTATCTCCCCCTGATAAACATTCAGATTCTACCCAGGTCAAACAAGAAAAGCCAGGGACATCATCAGGGCAGGAATGAGCAGCTAGAGGCAAGAAGGCACTGATCTTTTTTTAAACTGGCATTACAACCAAGAAGACATACGAGCATTAATTGGTAAATAACACTACTGTGTTTCGTACAGCTATACTGCAGTGAATCTGTTCCTAAGTTTGCTATTACCAAAATAATAAATGATGTAAAAATTGTTTAACAAATAGCACCACAGAAATCCCATAAAAGAGGTTTTTTTTCCTTACATTAAGGGAGGAAGGGAAGATTTGGCTTTAAGCATTGCTGTCTCCAATGGAAAGTAATCACACTGAATGGTAGGATAGAGACACATCAGGAAACCAACCAGATGTGTCAGTGGAAGTTGAATACTGGAATGACATTAAGACTTGCCTGCATTGGTATAGTGTATTCTGCTGTATCCCAGATCCTGTTGTCTGTGTAAGCCACTCCCTTCACACTAGTGCGAATTGAGCTGTTAACTTCATCCGTCTCCTGATAGAGTCTGTAAATGATGACTATACAACTGTCCAGATAAAACAGAAAGGACAAATAAGCCCATACAAATAAAATGGGTCAGCTTCTTTGTATCATTCTTGGACAAAATACCCTGCAAGATAAAAGTCAGATGGACATTTTCAAGTAATTGAGAGGCTTTTTTGTGTGAGACACATGCACTGGCTGGACCAAAGTCTGCCTTGGTTTCACTTTCACAACTTTGGCTTTATCAGAAATGAACTGATATATGCAAGAAGAGAACTTCTATTTTCCCATCTGAAATGACATAGATAACATGAGGTGACATCCCGGCCCTTCAAGATGCCCTTTGTGAAACACCAATTAACTGCAACGGGGCTTGATGTCATCCAAAAATTTTCACCTGTGCTGCATTGCTGTGTACCAAGACTTTGACTTTTTCTGTCACAAACAGACACAAATGTCCTCTCTACATTTTTTTTTTAAAGAGAGCTTAAAATACTTAGTTCTTAACTCCCCAGAGTAACTATTTTTATGCCTCATGCTGATTGCTTCAAAACCTTTGTCCTAATGTTTTCACTTGTTCATTAATTGAATGTGTTAATAAAAGGAGGAAGGACGCATCTGTGTTTAAGCTGTCAGGGAAGTCATATAGCTCATCTAACTCATAAAAGCACTGTCAACTTTGAGAAACTATTGTATGTTCAGAAAATACTTTCTGCACTAGATAAAAGTGATATAAAAGGTTTGCTTTGAAAAACAAACCATAAGAGCTAGCACTATTTCAGTTTAACAACAGACTGTCTGGGCGGGTGTGATAAAATACTATCTGAAGACCAGAAATACAAAGCACCCAGTCAGCGTTCCTTTACTTGTACCATCTATTACAATAGCATATCAGCCTTTTCCTCCTGGAGAACAGAGCTTTGGGATAACCATGGTGTTGGGAATGGGCAGTGGGAACCCAGCTCTGAGCAGCAGTAGGTGGGTACAGTACCTTAGTAAGAAAACTTGAATTTCCTGCAGACTTGATTCTTTGAGAGATTGGGATCAGTGTGCTCAATGTCCTCACTTGCTGCCCTCCCATGAGAACAAAACCAACTCTATGAACTTTTGGCAGACTTTGTTCAGCAAGCACTTAGCACTGAGAACAGCCCTAGTTTGGCAGCAAAGAGGAAAATCTGCCCTTTAGAGACAAGAAATTATTGCATATTCCTAAAACATCTTATTGTTCTTGAACTCTGCTGCAAGGGGCAACTGACTATTTCATCTGACCCTGAACAGGAGACTCTACAGAGAACTCTAATCGCAAAACCACTGTTGTACATCTGAGATTATTCACTAGAGTTATTTTGGATTTTTCCAACAACAAACGAAACCAGACAGCATGGCAAGAAATGAAACTAAAAGTGTTTTTTAGAGCAAGCTTAGTTAACTCTGTGCAAGCAACTCCACTTTGTTACATAACTTCGTACACCGCACTCCCACCACAAAATTCCCACAACCACATCCATCTTCGAGAATGATCTAACACCAGACCAGTGAGCTTGTTTGCTGCCACAAAACTCAAAGTGCTGAAAGCCAAGCTGTAACCAGACAATGCCCAATACAAGAAACATTTGTTCACATACAACACAGCCTCCCGGTGCCATGCACTTACCCAATAGACAGAGCAACAGTTGCAGAGAGGAAACATCTCAGGCCTCCCCATGTAACGCTCTGAATGCGTATGTATTTCACCGAGTTGTACTCTGTCAGGCTCTCCGGCCAGCCACATACACCCATCACTAGCACTTCCTATGAGACGCCAGCTTTTGAAAACTGCAGCTGCCTAGTGACCTCTTCTTCCACCCCTGCATTCTTCCTGGACCACCCCACTTAAAGGCACAGTCAGAAACCTCTATGAGAATGGCACCACAGGCCTTTTAAAAAATGGCAGTTGATGGAATCAGGAATGGCCTCAAGAGCCACATACTTAGGTTTATTCACAGAAAAAAACACCCAGATTTCACCCTGGAGCTGCAGAGCTGATTGCTCAGCACTGTTCTTGTCACCTTTTGTTTATGGCACCATCTCTCCTCAGCACTACCAGACTTCACCACTCTGAAGTAACGCTGGGACAACTGTAGAGATGAGACTAAACAGATGGAAGCCAACATCATGTAGAGCTGCTTCTGCACCATCCCAACACTTTGCACCAGCACAAAGATGATGCAATGCACTTCTGGATGGGCCGATGCACGCAACACCCACTTCGCAGAGGTGGCAACAGCCACACAAGGCTCAGGGCAATGGTAAAGCAAGTTATTTTGGGTCATCAGTGGCCAGAGAGATCTCCAGCATCTTCTCTCACATTGCATGGGACACCATCCTATTTGGTTTTAGATTGGGTTTGTATTAGCTCATGGGATTAAAAGGGCATGACAAAGTCACTACCCGTCTCAGCAGAGCCAAAACATGGCACGTACTTTGGTTGCAGCCTCTCCTGCTCCCCAGAAGCAGGCACAAGCCATAGTTGGTCAGCGTGCTGCAAGCCAACTATTTGCATCTGGTCCAGGGGCTCAAGGAGCAGGTGTGAAGCCGCCATCTGACACTGTAAACACAGGAGGTGGAGCCCTAAAGATGCAGAGCTCTCAAGGTGGGGACTTGTAAATCTCAAGCTCAGAGTTTGAAAGACACGAAGCTTGGATGGGACCCAGATTAAAAGGACCAGGGTCCTCTCTCTTGCAACAGAAGACCCACCCAGAGGCACAAAACATACAAACTCTACAACACAGATCTGATGTTTTTCTTCCATTCCTTTTGTATTTTAAATCACCTCGGATGCTACCTATGGCCGTAGTCATGACAAAACATTCAAAACCAGACAGGCTTCTTGTCTGTCAATATTACCTTAAATGCTTTAGCACATAGGAACAAGTTATATTCTGCACAAACAAGCTTAACTTTTTGAGACATCAGTGATCACTCCTTAAGCTTTTGCTGACCAGAGTCCATCCTGCTATGGTTGGTATTAGCGCCACTTCTGCAAGCAAAATCCTGCTACATAATAACAACTGAAAACGCTGCAAGTTAGAACCAGAAACAGATCTGTGATGCATTTAGATGCCAGAATAGCCACAAAGAAACTGATTTTTAACATAAGACAGTCAGACCTATGTGTACATACACATAACACAATATTTATAATAAACCAGCCAAACAGGAGGGCTCAGATTGCATAAGCAGAGCAGAAGTAAGTGTTGTCTTCTCTTCCTAAATGCTCTTGTTTTTACATTAACGTCTTCCATCTGTTTGGGATCTGACCTCAGCAGCTCAGCCGGACGTATTCATCTTCTTGCCCATGATGTTCCCATATAAGGTGATCTCTCTTCGCCCATGGAGCATGATTTTGATTTGCTCAGGTTTCATTCCACTCTGATTTGCTGGCCTCTATGGTCGAGCTCTCACAGTTTTGCAAGGCAGTCATCCACACAGCAGTAGCTATAAAAGGAGGAGAAAATCGGAGGGAGTAATGAAGCCATGCCTGCAGATCTAAAGAACTCTGGATAGTTTATCTGCAGGCTCCATTCTCTTTCTTCTGCCCGTTGCCTCTGCCTTTTCAAGAAGCAACTTCCATAAGCCTTTCCCAAGCAACATAAAACATAAGCCATAGGCAGAGAACTGGATGGAACTATAGGGCTGAATTTTTATTATAACAACTCTCATGTCATTAGGAAACTGCTTGAAACTCTATCATTCTCCACTCTAACTGGGGAATTTGGAAAAAGCCCCCCGAAATATAAAAAAAATATATATGAACACTGGCCTTTGATTCTTTAAGACTTGGCCCACATACCACATCACCCCAACTAAGGTAACTTAAGTTAGAAGTCAAACAAATATCTCGTCTGCTTTCTGTAATATCTACCCAAGGCTGTACTGAAAGCTGTCATCTCTTTTAGGGCTGTAAAACTTCTGTTGTGATACAGAGATCAAGACAGAGCTAAACCTTAATTTTTTAAGCAGTAAGTTTCCAAATTCAGACACCACTACAGACTGTAAATATCAAGCAGCAGGTGGGCAGCCTGGACTAGCAGTATGGCTACTTTGGGCTGCACATACAACACAAAACTGTTGGAAGAAAGGACTGTGAAAACATACTTTAAGGAAGACTCGGGATCCCCGACGCTATCCCCAAGTTGGGAAGTCTCACAGAACTGGGCTGTAATGTATGATTTTGCTCCCACCTTCAATTAGTTGAGCTTTCAAACAGGCCAGCAAGCCGGAGCTCAACCAGTCCAGTTCTATAATAACATCTGGTCACAGAGGTCTCCTTCCCCAAGAGTCAGAACAATCAGACTTCATGGGTTTCCACCACAACAAACAATCTCATAGTCTTTTTTTCCTTATTATCTTGGTATTTTCTAAAGTTTTCAGACATCCTTCCTCTTCTTTATCTGTCGCCTCTTTAACATTACAGAGACGTGAGAAGAGGGGAATGGTCCTTTGCTTCTTGGAAGGTGTAGGGACTGAAATAGTCTCATGTAAAGGAGAATCTCAGAGCAGCACCCTCCTGCTGCACCCAGCACAGATCCCTCTCCATCCTCAGCACTGTGGGCACAATCATTCTCTCCTCTGCACAAAGGTCTGAAGAAAAGATGTTTATCAGTATTTTCAGAAAGTGTTTCTCTAGCATTAAGTGGTGCACCCACATTCACCACTTCCTATTACCTATTAATGTGATTTGTGGGGAGCAGACCTGGCCCCCAACGTCTCCACAGGAAATAGTGGTTCCATTTGCTCTCTCTGTGTCTTCTATAGGCTCAAAATACTCATCAGAAGAAAAGTGTAATTGATACGAGGAAAGCATGTCAAGAGAAAGTAGATCTCTTCTGTGAACTTGTAGGTAAATACGATTCCTAAAGGTCAGTATACAGACTGAAAGCACAAAGGAAACATGATCTGGTTTTAAAGTTCAAATCCAAGAGTCAGGAGACTTGGATTAAGTTCCTGGCTCTATCACAGCTTTCATGCACAAATCACAAGCAACCCATCCGTCCCCTCTGGAACTTAGTTTAGTCAGTTAAAAGGTAGGACACCAATGCAGTGTCACTTTTCAGGCTTTCTGTGAAGTGGGCCCCGCCGAGCCCGGTGCCAGCCCACCGCCTCTGGGCTGCTGTGGGCCTTGCTGAGGTGGTGCCTTCAGCCGCCCTCCTGGCAGCTCCCTGTCCCTGCCGAGGCTTTGCGACATCGCTTCTGTCTTTTCTGCAGAGGTTTTTCCAGGACACGATCATGAGTGAGCAAATCCAGTTCATTGTTGAGAAGCTCAATCAGGAGCCCTTCAGGAAGAACTACAATTTAATCACATTTGACTCCTTAGAGTCAACGCAGCTGTTGCAGCTGCTCAATGATGTTCTGGGGGAGATTGACCCAAAGGTAAGGAAAGCAATTGGAGGTGCTCAGACCTATGTAATTGCAAACATCTTAAATGGGCTTGACACAGAAATTTGCTTTTCTTCAGGTCTGGCTGCGTATAATCCTGTGGTATGTTTGATTTACCAAAATAGCTTGTATGAATCTTCCTGGAAATAAATGCACCTGGCAAGAATCCTTTCTGTCTATACATCTGTGTGGTTTTGGCAAACCAGGAAATGTTTCTTGGGCCAGGGACCCTGGATCCCTGTCCCCCAGAGACTGATGACTATATTTTTCCTTAGGAATCAGGATACAGATCTTAACTTGGTTCCTACTGACAACCACTCTGTTAAGTCAAAGGCCGGGTTGTCTTGCACACGTACACAGGGCAAGAACTGATCCTCATGATTTATCTGATGCAATACATATTGAATCCCTCTCCTTTGAGGCTACCAAAAATGTGTGTAAGATCGAAAGGGATTGTTCGTACATCTGGGGTGCAGATACATGCACCTTGCTGTGCAGGGATATCTGACTTCCTTGGTGGAAGTAATCAGTTTTTCTGCATAGATGAGGTCCCATGAGCAGGGGAGAATAAATTTACCTGAATACACATGTTGAAGAAAAACTCGTTAGAAGAGAATGGAAGTTTGGTGATAAAAAGGATGTGTGAAGCATCTCACTTCATTGACATAATCATGTGATAAATGGATAATTTTTTTAGTATTACTAGTTAATTAACGTGACTTGGACAAACTGGTTAATTATTTTTATTTTTTTAAAACTATTTAGCATGCTGTTGACATTAGAGAGGAGCTGCCGGAACAAACAGCTAAAAGAATGTTGAGTCTTCTTGGTATCCTTAAATACAAACCTCCAGGAAGTATATCAGACTTGTAAGTATCTTTTTGTCTACACATCACAGTAAAACATCTTTTACAGCTGTTGCGGTAACGACCTTGAATTCAGTAGTTGCGTGTATTTTTGACCTCCAGCATCCCAGTGGGGTATGTTTAACGCCTTGCAGACAGCTGCTCCTTTGTCCCCATGGAGTAATGGTGTAGGGGCTGCCGGCAGAAGGCTCCCGCGGGTGTAGGCTGCCCTCGGGCCCTGCTGCAGCAGCTGCTATTGCGGAGCCAGCCAGGAGAGGGTGCCGCACGACTGGAAGGGTCGGTCCCGTCCCTCGGACCAGCCGCCCGAGGCTGGATTGCACCCTCCTGCGCCAGGTTATAACTCAGAAAACCCCCACTCTTCCCACATTGCCCTTATTCCCGAAGAATATCGCTGAAAAGGAAGAGTCGTTGTTGCTGGCTTTAGCCTTTTGATGTGTTATGGGGTTTTTATCTGTCTCAAGGTAATTGGGATCATAAATAGCAAACTGGCATCACGAGTGTTTTCTCTTTTAACAGCATTAAGAAAATCATTAGGCAAGTGGAGAGGGAATGTCAAAATACTGCAAATTGTGTGTTTCAAGCCAGTGTTCTTTGAGATTTATTGATATTTTCTTTTTGTTGTTTTTATATAGGAGTGCTTTTCGCCAAGGGTTAGTGACTGGAAGCAAACCCGTAATTCATCCTGTCTTACATTGGCTTCTTCAGAGGACCAATGAGCTCAAGAAAAGAGCTTACCTGGCACGTTTCTTGGTCAAATTGGAAGTGCCAGCAGAGTTCCTACAGGATGACACTGTGGCTGACATCAACAAACAGGTACCATTTTTCATGACTGCCAACATTTTACATTAATTAATTGCCAATAGGAAGAGGGATAAATGAATTGGGGAGTTATGTTGAGATACATGTTCAAGTGAGTTTTAAGAGCATGATGGAATCAAGGGTGAGCAAAAATTTGTAATAAGAAATACATGTCTTGACCACCTTTCTTCCAGTAACCCTGAAAATGTCTATATGTTCAATAGGTAGTATTGAATTAAAAGGTTTTAAGCCCTTTAAGTACTGAGTGCTAAATAATGTTCAGAGCCATGGTGGCCAAGACAGATTTTTATTTTTAATTTTTAAACACTTTTTTTTCCCCCTTATGAACTATGACATGGATATTTTTAACTTTATAAATCACCACTTCAAACTTGTCCAGAAAATGTTCCAACCAAAAGCCAATGTCTCCTAATTACCAATTGATTGTATAGTATTTAGCACCTAATATTTGTATTAGCTTTATCCCACTTCTGCTTCAACC